AAAAACATAATTACTGTGGCCTATAAGTGTCTTGACACATTTTGCCTAAAAATTAAATGATAATTATAGTTTAATGAGAGGATTAAGTGTTAAACATTTGTATAAACAATTTATTATAAAATAGCTAATGTAGTTTACAACAATTGTTTGCTACAGTTATTGTAGGTATTTATAAAATTATAAATTTACTAGCTGACCTGTCAAACGTTGTTATGTCATATAAATTATTTCTAGAGAATATTTTGCTAGAAAAAAATAACTAATTTAATATAGGAGTATAAGGATGTGTTATATAAGTGTAAGAGGTATGGAGTGCTGTAAACGGTGTAAATGATTGTGCAGAAATAGGTCGGTAATTGTATGTATCCCGTTTCATCTGTAGTAACTTTCTCATCACCGATATCTAACAATTGTTTTAAGAATCTTCCGCACGCAGCTTTTTTTGATTGAATCGTAAGTATAGTAATCGTTCGCTCTTTATCATTACATACATGTCGACCATAGATTGTTGACCAAGCTTACGACATCGCAGAATAAGTTGTCCTGATCGTATCTAATCATCAACCGATATGCATATTAATCCTTCGAACTACCATTCTTGTTTGTTTTGGCATCTGTTGCGGGATCTTATTGTTTAAAATGTACTCAATACCCATCATTTAATACCAAAAATAAAATTAATAGTTTTTAAATAGTTTTTAATAGTTTTTTAATAGTATCATTTAATAATTTATTTTCAATTGCGCAGTTATTGACCGAGTCAAATATTATTCAATTAAATTACGATGTATTAAACAATATCACTTAGGAGTTTAAAAAATAGATAAGACCATTTGCAGACCTAACAAATGTATATACAAAATTTCATTAAAATCGGTTGTCATTTCAAACACTGTGACACAAGATTTTTATATATATGTAGATTTTATTATAAATACTTTCTTACCGAACTTAATTCCCATATTTTTATAGTTTTATCATCAGAAGCAGATACTAGAAGACGGCTATCAGACGACCAGCTGATATCATTGATTCCTAATTTGTGTGCAGCAATAGATTTTTCAAATTTGCCATCATAAGCGCCCCAAATTTTAATTAACTTATCAGCAGCTAAAACAAAAGAAATTCAAATAATTAATAAATTTAACATAATCAAATTTAGTTAAAATGAATACACATAAGGGTTTAGAAACAAATTTCATTTATTACTATGTGTTATTTTAAGGATTTAAATAAAATAATGTTAGTAAATTTAATAACACAATAGTCGCCGCTTATAATGATCACATTCGTTCGAGAGAACTGTGATCATTATAACCGGAAATCACTATAAGTGGCGACTCGAAAATACATTTTTTTTCACTAATTGAAAATGTGCTCCTACTAGCCATAATACAATATACAACTACATACTATACAAACTGAACGACGGACGAAAATAAACTGGGTATAAAGTGTAAAAATATCGGTGCTTGTGAAAACAAAAACGGTTTCAAACATGTACGAATGTACATATGAAGTGTCGCTTACTACGTGGGTTACATTAGATAAGATAAGCTCGATTAAAGTTCACGATTAAGATAATTGTCATTCGTAATCGTTTTCTCTATACACAAAAATAGGTGATTTTATTGTAAATTATACTTATATTTTATATTTCTGATCACAATAATTGAAAACCTGAACACTGTAAGCAACGAAAAATGCACTTATAACGGCTGTTTGTTCCGTTCCTGGCATTTTTGATCACTATAAGCGACAACCACTGTATTAATTTAAAATAATAAACGTAACATGTAATAACATAAATATATTAATGTACGAATAAGAACCCTGTCTATAAATTTACTCACACGAACTGGCAAGCCATTCACCGTCTGGACTGAATTTAACGCAAGACACAGCTTTTGTATGACCAACCAAAGTAAATTTTAACGAGTAATTTGGTTTCTGGAATGAACAGAATTAATGGAAGTATAAACCTTTATTTGAACATTACTATACTATTACTGATACATTTAACTATAATTCAAAAACTTACCAAATTACTGGACGATTTTACTCGGTTTTCGACTGGTTGCATATTTTGACCGAGCGGGGAACTGCCAATTAGGAAACTCGGAACTATAGGTAATATAGTGTTAAGTAATAATGTTAACTAATATAGTTCAATGATTATAAAAGTGTTAATAAAAACGATCGAAACAGGTTTTGGCTTAATGTTTACGGGTAACGCATAAAAAAACGTGGTCTACCATAACAGACGCTGTTCCGCTTTGACCGTTGTCCGTGAGCCAGTGTATTGTTATCGTAAATATTAATATTGACTAAAAGGATCTATATGAAACATTGCATGTTGGTCACACTGCCAAAGATGGTGGGAAATCAAACGTTCTTACGAATAACAGTAGATTACGTTGTCTACAGTTTACAGTAAACGTTTTTAGAGCTCAATGAAATTTAGGTACAATCAGTGATGGACTTACGGGGGAGGGGGGGACATGGCGATTGTCCCCCTTGTGTTTTTAGATAGATCGATCTAAATAGACGATTAAGTCTTCATTGTATTTTATACACCACTCATAAGTATTTCTATTCACCTCCTCCCATTAGACAACCTTCAGATTCATCCCTGAATATAATACTGCTTTACGTGATGGCCAGTCTTTCGAGATCAACTTGCAATGAGAAAAAAAATAAAAGTAATCTAATCTAATATGTTATTATACAAATAAAAATATTTTAAGCTATAATTTATTAAAAATATTATTCACATAATTTACGATTAGGTACAATAAATGTGTTTATGTAAGTCGCTGCTCTTAACTTACTACATTGTAATTACTCATAATAATTATAACCATTAGATTCCAATAATACCAACCGGAAAGTTTAGTTTTTTTAGAAAGTTAACTACGCGTTTTATGTAAAATTTTTACTGTCGAAAAATATTTATATTTTTCTTCTTTTTCTCTATTTGGTTTAAAAAGAATTATACATATTTTTTTTCTTAGGATATAACAGTTATAACCATATGAGATATTCTTTTATGTTATATAATCACGAATAAATAATTTATTGTAAGTACATTCAAACCAAATTCGTTTAGAATTTTATATTTTTTAAAGTAAAAATTATTTTTCTATTATAATAAACATAAAAATAGTTATATATACTATTAAAATTAGTTTTTTTATACTAAAATATTATACGTTTTATATATCGCACTATCAGTGCAAGAAGGCCATATATCAAAAATATTAAATTTTTTAGGAGAGCATTTCTAATGCTTGATACTTTATAGTAGTTAAGGTAAATTGAAAAATAACGAATATTCTAATTCACTGTAAATATTAATAGAGTTAATAACGTCAAAGTTGAAATTGTTTATCATATTTATAGATTTTATATTATATTTACTGATAACAAACACAGGATGATAATGATACTATCGTTCATTTTAGCCATGATAACTGCTCCGAAAAACTAGCTCACGTTTTGCTGTCGCGATCCTCTCGTAATATATGCACTGAGAGTGCGATTTATAATTTATTTGTTTCTGAATAAGTCAGAAAGTGGTATTCTATAAGTTGAGTATATCTGGATGTATCTTTAAATTGAAATAACGTTTTATATAATTTCTATTAAACTATATAAATACAAAAATAATATGATTTTTGTCTTTATAATTTAACCCTCAAATGACAGATTTACAAATTTTAATCCGTTTTTTTCAAGTAAACATGAATCTTTTAATGTTAAGATAATTTTTTGTCGATGGAGAAATAGTAGTTATGAGCAGCAGATAAATAGAGTCAATAAAAAAATAAACAATAAAATAATAAAGAACAAAATAAAAATTGTAAATATTGTAAATAATATTGTAAATATAAAAAGTTATTTATTCATGTATATATACACGAATTATTTATTTCTATATTAAAAAAATAACATTTAACCTACATTAAGAAATTCATAATTTTGATAGTTTTTTGCGAATTCATTTTTTTATCAAATGGTATGAATAACGATTCATTTTAATTTAATTTTAAAAACAATAAGAATACTAGTAAAAATAAATCAACTAGATTATAACTTTTAAATTTCAAAACTAATTTTAATTTCATTCAATTTTCTCTTGTAGTAATTGTATAATGTGAAAAATTAAGCATGTTAATGTAATAATTTAAATTTAATTGAACTTTCCCAATCAATTAAAACTAATAAAGCAACAAAGTTACAAAATATATATTCCTAAAATTAATAATTTTGTATACTAAGTATTCAAATTATTCTATTTTTTTTTTCTATGAATAATTAGCTTGAAAAATGTTACAATATTACTTTACTATGTTAACTTTTTATCTAAAAATTATATATTGGTATACTTAAACTTATACTTTTAATACATAATCAAAATATAAAAAAATGTATAAAACAAAATAATTACACAGGTTCATGAAATCAATGACATTAATCAATAAATATTAAAAGTAAATTTAGATTAGACCATACAATATAAAGTAAAAATAATTATATAAATGTGTCGTAAAAATAATTATAATTCATTATGTTGTTTCATTATCAATGGTTTGCTCACATATTAAACCCTTTTGGGGTTGCCAACTTATTATTTAGGATCGCCTATGATTTAAAATTTAAATATTTTATTATTTTATTCAAATATTATAATATTACATAATACGAATATATATAATTATATATTAATGTTATGAGTAGTAGTTTAACAAAGTCAATTACACCAAGAATTGACGAAATAATGTCATATCAACAGCAATAACCAAGCCATCAAAACCCTATTTTAAATATATATTTATAGAATAAAATATTTGATATACAATTTTTAGTTAAAAATAACTATAATATATATGTATTTTATGTACACTGTATAGTGTGTAATGTACAGTACTTAAAGTATGAATTATAAATAATAATTCATAGGAGTATATAAAATAATATATATGTTGGGGTTGCTAAAAAATTGAAATTCAAAAAGGGGGTTTCCAGAGTAAAAAAGTTGAGAAACACTGCATTAGACATTGGTTGATAACTATTTGTTCTAAACTATGTATAGCTTCACATTTATTTTTGACATAAAGTATACTTTAGTCTTCGAGTAGTTCACTCATAATCCTTGAACCACCTTCTGTTATCACCATGGAACAGTATTTTTCAGCTGTAAATAATTGTAATATATTACATATATTATTATTTATATTATTATTATTATATTTATTTTTTTTTTTTCAATATATTTAATACATTAGTCATAAAACTTACGGTATTTTTTTGTAAAATTTGCCAAAGACCATGTAATATTATGGTGTGTGCTGAGGTGTGTATCAAATTTGTGCAAGCTGTAGTATTAATTCAATGGAATGTTGAATAATATCTGGATCAGAATCGAGATCCCAATCTAGTATGGCTGTTGTTAAACCATCTAATACTCTATGTCTAGATGTTTCTTTAATATTCCATTCTTCACAACCAATAGATAACAAATATGCAATAACACGTACAGCATTATAACTGATCTATTTAAGATATAGAAAATTACATTTTTAATTACTTTGATTACACCAACATAATCAATTTCATTTTTTGGTTTATTATTCGCTTGAAATGCAACAGAGTTAAGTACACTAAATACATACTTAACTCCCAATAGTCCTCTACAGTCTTCAAAAGTTTAACTGAATAGAACACGAAGCAACATTTTTACTAAACTTTTAAACTCAAACTTCTATATTTAAAATATCACAGTATTAATATTTTAAGTAAATAATATGAAAAGATTTCTAAGATTTTTTTTTTTTTTTATTGCTTTTATCTGATAGTGATAATTACCATATCCTTTGTCAATATGCTAAAACACTGACAGACATAGTACGCCATTTTTGCATTATATTATTGATATTCCATAGTTAATTAAGTGGTTATATGTTGTTTTATGGTTATATCATTGAATAATGGCAGATCTTTATTTTTCAAAATGTAGTTAATAACAGCATTAAATTATTTTTTTAAATTAATCAATATAATCAACTAAATAAGAATTAATGAATATTGACTTTCCACTCAATTGAATATATTTATTTTTAACGTGTGTATTAAGTACTTTTAATATTGTATCTAGAGCATAATCTATGTTGTAAACTGGCTTTCTCACTCTAAAGCCTAAAGTCATGATATGGATGACTTGAGAAGTTCCTGTTTTTCCATATTTGAATAATCACTATTAAATATGTTCATTGTTATCATCACCACTTATCTATGAAAAAAAGTAAATATCAACTTATAAATTGATAACACGATGAATAAATATTACTTTTTGCAGGAATATTATGTCGTCGACAAGCATTATGCATGGTTTTCAATAAACCTAAGAATTATAAAGGATTGTCGACTCTATGCTCTAAACCGGGAATGTCTGACTTTTGCCACTTAAGGACTAGTGCATAGAATGTTCTGCTCTACCTAAATTCAATAATATACAAATGAAAAATTATTATAATTAAAGTTAAATTATTCAAATTAATGTAAATAACTAATTTAGATAAAATTCATTGCAAGATTAATTAATCATCTTCAGAACTGTAATTAAATATAATGTTTTGTATTATATGGCTAATGTATTAAAGACTGTTAAGTTAATTAAACTGAAACAATTCTACTGTTAACCAGACAACAAACATGAATAAAAGTAATAATTATATATTAGTCTAGATGATATATTCAATTTGAATTAATTACAGTGATTGGTAATGATCATTAAGTAGACAATATTTATATATAATTGTTTATAAATGGTTTATTATTTTTAAATATAAATTCATATAAAATGGTTCAAATATAAAATTTTATAATAGGTAGTATAATGTATATTTATCATTGTTTCATTTATAGAATTCTCATTTTCAAATATTAAAACAAAAATATTTAAAATATATACATGTTTATATAGTTCGATATTCAATAAAGTTATAATTAATTAATATGAAATTGATGAACTATTCAATACTTTAATTTACAATGAAAATGCCAATGGAAACCTTGAAACAGAATCATAGGCGGTTTGATATTTTTCAGTTGGTGGTTCAAGCACAGTTAATACCATCCATCTACCTACCAAAAAGTTATATTAGGTATAACTATTTACCTAATTTCAATTAAATTACCAATTTTATATAACCTACCACTGCCAGTTGCCAAGCCCAAGTGCCCACCTATTAAAATGACACCCACCCCAAACTTTTTAGCAGTTCAATGAACCACAAAATTCACGATCAAGCCGCCTCTGAACAGAATATAATAATTTAAATAATTTTTTTATTTGTATTATACTTTGAAATCAGTGTCTCTAATGTGGATCTCTTGATATTGGTGATATCATAGTATTCATTGCAAGGGCGTTAACAAGGAGGAGATGTGGGGATCACATCCCCCCCATAGGTCTTTTTAAAATTGTGTAAAATAGTGTTCTTAATGTAAGGAAATTATAAGGAAACAAAAAAATAATGCTAGGATTTATTTTAAATTATTATTTTGACACATTCAATATATATATATCTTTTATTATTTATTATTGAAATGTGTAGGTACTTAGGTTTAGGAAATTTCCTTCCATGATAATTTTTTTGCAACTTATCCCCTCCATACAAAAGTTATATATACGCTACTGATTCATTGGTAGATAGGTTGCTATATATATATATATATATATAAATCACTTCCTCTCAGTTATGTGCCAACATATCAATTATCTTTGGTCTTCCTGTTGGAACAGACTTCCATCTAATTTTACCTCAAAATATAGAAGTGTTGTTTCCAACATATTAAAAAAAAACCTGGTTCAATAATTTAAAATTATCCAGAACGATGATTATACAATTTAGCTGTTTACGAGTCGGTTATTATCTACTTCCTTCTCATTCCTATAAACTCTCTCTAAACTAGAAATTATCTCTACTATAAATATTCAATAAAAATATTATGGTTTGAAACCGTAATTATTTAATTAATTTTTCTTTGAATCATCATAAAATAACTAACAGATATATTTAGTTTTTAGGATATCATAACCGGAATAAAAACTAATAAAATTGAAAATGTTTGGTTTTATATAACATTATATAGTTATTTTAATAAATGAAAACATTTGGTTTAATGATTTTTTTTCACTAACATTTATTATAAAAAAATTGATTACAATTAATATTACTTTGTTTTACTCAAATAATTTACCTTCTCCACCCAAGTTGGTACCAGATATGTCGAAAGACATAAGATTCGGTAAACTCTCAACGATAACAGCTAAAGTTTTATTTTCATCTTTATAAGTACGTTGTCTTGAATAATAATCTGATTATGAAATATCTATAACACTGAAAAAAATGTTTGTAAACATTAAATGTTCCATGTTATAAAAAACTTACAGGTGATTTTAAAGAATAAATATTTATAATAGCGTCGTTTTCAATTAAATCCAGTACGTTATAAAGTATCTAAACGGTTTAAATTTGGTGTACTCGTATTGTGTTAATTTTTCCACAAAATCCATGGCCAACTAACGTAATATACATCTGCGAGTTCTGCGGGTGGAATCATCGAACACAGGTTTGTAGCGTGATCAAAGACATTTTTGTACACGGACGGCTTTATATTTTGACAGTTTGTAGGTTTGAACTCGAACAAATCGTAACGTAAAAAATATTCCAATCCATCTACCTAATACTTGCTATCACTAATATTTGAATCACGTATGTTATGTGTACCGGTGGCGGTTTCGAAATGTGTTTTTGCATGAGACTACACGAACAAACAAACCGTAAATGATAATGATAATAAATTATAATACATCTACACTGAGAGTCTGCGGTGCATCCGTTACCAAATGATAACAGACCAATAATTATATTGAGAGCTTCTATAGTATAATTCGGACAACAATTGGCAGACATCCACCCCTTTGGACCTTCTATGGTACTCATACTAGAAATTGCAACATGATTAGTTACTTAAATTATGTATAAAATATTAGGTTAACAATTGTAAATTTTTTACTTGTAGATCGATTACGTTTGTTAGAAAGAAAAGTATGAAGAGAAACGCAGCAGATTATAAATGGCTATAAGGTAACGACCTAACAAATATATATATAAAAGATATTTCTGTACAAAATAAAATAACAAAATATACATGTAATTATCATAAACAACTACAATTTGTATTCTTGTTGCTGTATTTAAGTATAATTGTATGCACAATATGCATCCAAAATTATTATATTTTGAAAAATAATAATAATATTATTTATGTATAATAAAATAACTAATAAATATTTTAAGTTAATTTTGTTTAAATTAAAAAGAATAAAAACAGAACTTAATTCTTAGTTGTTAAGCATTACAGTTCTTTAGGATATTACTACTATGACTACCAGTGTAGTTATTATCAATGTTATTGTAGGTTTGGAGAGCAATACTAACAACTAGAGACACCAATAACCATTTATTAATTGCTGCACTTCAAAACGTCAGAAATAGCTGATACATTTCAGCATTTTTTCGAAGGATTGCTCACTCTGCAAGAGGTTATTGGGATCAACGAATTGGCCCTTTACCAACGGGTAAATTTATTTTGTTTTTACTAATTTAATTATTACTAAGAAATTATAAGTAATTAAAAATAGATGAACAATTAAATGATCAACCATCAAATGCATTGGTATTTCGACATCTTCAACCACCAGAATGCTTACCAGGACACATAAGACATGGTACTGGAAGGGGCAAAGATCAAGTCCAAGTACAATCTGCTGTCCGACGCCCCATTTTACATGCTGCAAGACGCCGAGGACGTCCAATTACAATTAGAAGACCTCATCATCAGAGATTAAATGAAGATATAATGAAAGGTTCTCTATAACTGAAATTTTAAAATAAATAATAAAATTGTATAGATATTATTAAAATTTTAAATTCGTTTATAGACAATATACTGGAAGTTCTACCTGAACCAGAAATCAAAGGTACTTAATATTATATCAATGTTTAAAAATAATATAAATTATAACGCAGTAGATTTAATATATTATTTTTTTGTAGTTGTTCATTTTGAATTGGTTGAAGTACCTCCAGCTGAAAATGAAAATTTTGATAAGTCAAATTATTTATTATTTATAAAATATTAATACAAATATTAATACATAAATACTTTTATTATTAGAAAATGAAAATGTTGAGATTGTGGTAGTTGGAGCAGAAGAATTGAATACCACAATTTTGGAGGATCAGCCATTTCCACAAATAACAGGTACAAATATTGCGTGTATATATATATATATTATATTTTTGAACTGATTTAAGTTAATATTTTTTTCCTTATTAATTTTCAACATATAGAATTAAATTTATGAACTGTTAACTAGAAACTTTTAACATATTGATCTTGTATTCTCTTTACTTAACTTGAGTTAATTATTTTCATTAACTTACTCAACTTTGTCAATATCTATAAATATCTATAAATCAAATCAAACTAATAAACAATCTAACATATATTAAAAAATTGCAATGAATTAATTCATAGATTAAATATACATACAAGTATATATACATATTACATTGTTAATTGTACTATAAAATGTATTTTAAATAAATTTAGTGAACATTTGAATGGTTAAAATAGTAATCATAATATTAATACTAACTCAAACAGTACAGTGACCAGGATTATTTTATATATAATAATTATGATAATGATTTTTATTACAGTGAAAAAAGGATATCATATTCAAATATCGTTTGAAAAAAAAATACATTTTAATGAGGTAATTAAATTTTATAAATCATTTATAATACTTAAATTAAGCACTAAATAATAGTATATTATTATATTTGTTTCAGAATGTTGCCAACATTTTGGCTGCAACTATTGGGGATTTATATAGGGAGGGGGCAATAGTATAATTAATGTAGATCAGACAATTTTAAAAAGTAAAGACCACTTTAATATAAACATTTCTCAAGCAATATCAAATAATAAATTCAAAATTCAAAATTCTATTTCAAATTATTCATTTTCTTCATCATCTTCATCATCAAATATCGACACCTTATACAATAACATTTTTAAATTTATCATATCAAAAAATATTATCATGCAATACAAAAATCATTCGGCGGAAATTGCAAATTATTTTTTATCGTCAAATTCAAACATAAAAAAACGATTCAAAATTATAAAAAAAAAATTTCCAATATTATATGTAGTAGTAGAATGGAAAACATGATTCAAGTTGAAATTGAGTGCAATGATAAAAAAAAATATATTAATGACATTTTTTAAATATTTACAGTACACATATTGAATTAAGAAGTTGTGATATTAATGAATATAAAATATTAAA